GGGGCCTGTGCAAGGATGTGTCCAGGGGCCTATCCAGGGATGTGTCCAGGGGCCTTTCCAGGGATGTGTCCAGGGGCCTGTCGAGGGATGTGTCTAGGGGCCTGTCCAGGGATGTGTCTAGGGGCCTGTCGAGGGATGTGTCCAGGGGCCTGTCCAGGGATGTGTCCAGGGGCCTGTCGAGGGATGTGTACAAGGGCTTGTCCAGGGGCCCTGTCCAGGGATGTGTCCAGGGGCCTGTGCAGGGATGTGTCCAGGGATGTTTCCAGAGATGTGTCCAGGGGCCTGTCCAGGGATGTGTGAAAGGGCCTGCGCAGGGATGTGTCCAGGGATGTGTGAAGGGGCCTGTGCTGGGATGTGTTCAGGGGCCTATCCAGGGATGTGTCCAGGGGCCTGTCAAGGGATATGTCCAGGGGCCTGTCCAGGGATGTGTCCAGGGGCCTGTCCAGGGATGTGTCCAGGGGCCTGTCCAGGAATGTGTCCAGGGGCCTGTCCAGGGATGTGTACAGGGGCCTGTCCAGGGATGTGTCCAGGAGCCCTGCCCAGGGATGTGTCCAGGAGCCTGTCCAGGAATGTGTCCAGAGGCCTGTCCAGTGATGTGTCCAGGGGAGACGTGTTCGATGTATTCGATAACGTATTCGATGTATTCAATTTTTATTTTGTTTCTTCGGTACCGAACAGTACCGGTCATCCCTAATGTTCAGTTATGTCATCAACCAATCTTAATCACCCCTTAATCAGTCCCTTTTCAATGAATGCATGTTTAATTCCATTTTCAACGATTGCGTATTTAATCAAATTTTGCAAATATATAACCATTTACAAAGATTGCTTATTTCTCCAACATTACTAGTTAAGATTACATATTGAATATAAGAGTGTATAAAGATCTATACTTATATTATTAAATATGACCGAAAAAGTAAGATTAATAATTCTAACACGAATTTTCTCAATCTTTCGTACATTTCTTTTCACTGTTGGTGGTAATTCAAAAATCAATTCTCCAAAATTCATTTTTATTTCTAGTCTGACGCGACACTTGAGCGCGTTTCGTAAAACTTATTACATTTTCAAAGACTTTAGTTTACACATACACAACTGAATAGAACTTACACATCTCCGATTTGTTTATATCTACATTTTAGTGAGGTGGATGGGGTGAGGTGGTTTTAATAGGGTATTAAATTCATCAACACAAGACAGAACACGAAACAATGGGTATTGAATGGAAGTGATTGTAGAAAGCCTATTGGTCCATATTTCTTGATGCTTCTATATTGGAGCGGAGTTTTGAGGTGGGTTGAATATAGTTGTGCATTAATTGGCTGTTGATTGCTGGTGTTGACTTCTTAATGTGTAGTGCCTCGCAAACGTCAAGCCGCCTGCTATCGCTGTATCTATCGATGATTTCTGTGTTGTTTACTAGGATTTCTCTGGCGATGGTTTGGTTGTGGGAAGAGATTATATGTTCCTTAATGGAGCCCTGTTGCTTATGCATCGTTAAACGCCTAGAAAGAGATGTTGTTGTCTTGCCTATATACTATATATATACTATACTATAGATGTGTATACTGTGTATGTGTAAACTAAAGTCTTTGAAAATGTAATAAGTTTTACGAAACGCGCTCAAGTGTCGCGTCAGACTAGAAATAAAAATGAATTTTGGAGAATTGATTTTTGAATTACCACCAACAGTGAAAAGAAATGTACGAAAGATTGAAAAAATTCGTGTTAGAATTATTAATCTTACTTTTTCGGTCATATTTAATAATATATGTCTACAGGAAAGACTGCTACCAAAATATACTAATATTAAAGATCTATACAATACATATTGCCCCCAACTTTGAACAGACAAATAAACAGAAATTCTCTCTTATAGTATAGACTAGCGGTTTTTACCGACGTTACCCGGGTCTGTCTCATAATATTCCTCTCTATATACATCCATCTATTTTTCAATTCATCCATCCATCTATGTATTCATTTATTTATTGTCTATTCATCTATCTATCCATCCATCTACCCTCTCTACATATTGTGACGGTATGACCTCCGTTCATCCAGCCCGGTGGAATCCCTGGAGTACCTCAGCACCCTCCTCTCACAGCTCTTCACTGATGGGGGCCGGGCTTCTGCCCCCCCCCCCCTCCCCCCATTGGGTGACACTGTTCACCACTGGGGAGCACCTCAGTCTAGCAGCGGGGCTGAGTTCAACCATCAAACCTGGTGTTGCACCCTCTAGGGAGTGAGATCACCCAACCACTCCCTAGTTTCCTTGCTGGGGTGTCCGTGGACACGAAAACTCAGGGTCTACTCCAGGTAGAGTGCCCGCCCATAAGATATCATACAACAAGGTCGAAAATTTGACTCGACTCTCCTCGCAGCCAAGTAATACTCCAAACTCAGTGGTACATTAACTCTCCCAGTCTAGTTCTCTTGACGTAATGGTGTGGTGCACAGTAAACCTCACACTACAACACAACAAAGAATAGAAGGGAAGGAAGGAAGGAAGCACACTAGTAAAATTGATGGGTTTACTCGATGATAGTCTACACTGGCGGTCGGCAAAAATCTCTCTGAATCCGTTAAATGGCAACACTTCTGAAATTAATATCACATCGGGCTACTCTTCACTGTCTCCCAAAATCGCCCATATGAGGCTGTCACGTAAACACTGATATCACTTGATATAAATATATATTATAACGCCTCTTGAATAGTTTGAAGTCTTTAAACCACTGCGTTATCAACTCCAAAATATAATCACTGGTACCTCATAATTAATATTAAACTGTTTAAGTTCAAAGTCACATCACACGTAAATCATGGGTATCACATTATTTATGTATAACCTTTCCAAACACAAGGGGGAAATGGAAGGGCAAAATTATGTACCTTATCGACCAATACTGCTGGTCGTAGATCAGCATCGCGATGACAGGCTCCTCGTAGATCCGGCGAAGAGGCGTCGAGTGGCTCCTAGTAGATCAATGAGGACCGAGTGCCTTCTCACTGATCGTGCCGCTAGTTCACAAGCTCCTCGTCGGGCGCCACTCCTACACCAGGTATTCCTCCCCAGATGACAGGTTGTGACTGCTGTTGCCTGGCTCACCCAGACTAACAAACTTGACACACTGGTCCACTGCCTCTCACAGACTCGTCGGGTTGGTAAACGACTGTTGAATTTCAAAAGAGCAGGACCGGCTACCGATTCAGTTCCACACAAATGCCGACGTGCGCAGCCCACAAGAATGTCCAACACTCCTCCCAGTGCCACTTCAGAAAATTACGCAAGACCCTGTGGGCACCGAGCTCTTGGGTCGTCTTCACGCCAGAAAAGTTCTGCCACAATAATCCCACGGGAGTCAACAGGTCTTCCTCTTTATTGGTACCCATTCAGTTTCCTATTTGCACCAGTTTGGAGGCCTATACTTTTCCAAAGCAGCTGATTGCTGGAGCGCAACTCAGCTCAGACTCGAACCTGGTAGCAAGTAATCTCAAATTTCCTGCTTCCAGCAGAAGCGCATGCTGTCGTGCCTATGTCACGCCTGGGCGTTACGCCATAGGTCCGCTCGGCCAGACCCCCACCGCCGACCTTTCACGCCACGGCTGGCGCCGTACCCAGAATGCACCAGGGGCCTCGACCCCATGTGGGAATCCTGACCTCCGCCCCCCCCCTCGGCTCGCTCCACCTTATTTGTATGGAGGAGACGCCTGATAGCCTCATCCCAAATAAATTAAATGCGCAATTTCACTCAAATGCAACATCATGCTTCCTCTCAAGTGTATAAAATCAACTAAAGCTTCTAATAAATAAGTACAAACAGGGTGTTATGACTCTTATATGTGGGAATAGAGGAATACAGGGCTGAGGTACGTAACAATATCCACTTATATATCCATAAATCCATCCACCTATCCATCTGTCCATCCATCTGTCCCTCCATCCATTAGTTCATCTCTTTGTTCATCTATCCATCAATTTGTGCAACCATTTATCCATCAATTTGTTCAACCATCTATCCATCAATCTATATACACCCATCGTTCTATCTCTAACTTTATCTCCATGTATCTATCCATGCACCTACTGCTCTATCAGTCTTTCCATCTATCCATCCATCCAACTGTCTTTCCATCTACATATCCATTCAACTGATATGCCATCTGTCTATCCATCCAACTGACATGCCATCTATCTATCCATCCAACTGTCTTGCCATCTATTTATCCATACAACTGTCCTTCTATCTATCTATCCATACAACTGCCTTTCCATCTGTCTATCCAACTGTCATTCAGTCTATCCATCCAACTGTTTTCCATCAATCTATTCATCCAACTGCCCTTCCATATATCCATCCATCCAACTGTCATTCCATCTATCTATTCGTCTATCCATCCATTTATTTATCCATCCATATACTCATGTCTATTCATCTACCTATCCACCTGCTTATCCATCTACCTATCTATCCCTCCATCTGTCTATTATCTGCCTTTGTCTAATTGTCTCTTATACAAAATATAATTGTTTAATGTGTGGGTAGTGGGCAGTGAGAGGAGCTCACTGGTGTGATATACAACAAAAATAATAGTTATCCCTGGCTCTGGTAAAGAACCATTGCTCGAGGATCCTTTGATGCTGTGTAAGGCGTGTCTTTTTGACAGCAGGAAATCGGCCAAGATCAGTGACTAATAATGCATATTACTATAAAAAAATAATTTGGAAAATTTTGAAAATATTTAGCCGTGTAGGTGGCGGATAATGCCAAAAATCGTCGTGGGGGGTGTATGTATCATGTATAGATGTGACCCTGGCACGCTTACGTTATTAATTTGTGCGACGGAGACCATCCTATATTTATCCCATTCGCCAGACCATTCCCTCTGCCAATTTGGGTGAGGCAAGTCCCAACCGTGTGGCCTCCGTCTTTTAACAGACAGACACAAACAGGCAAACAGTCAGACAGGTAGTCATTCTTATAGATATTTACCTGGGAATGCGTGACCTGTCGTTCAAGATAAGTAACATGGTATTCATCATGGAAAATGTCCAGTGGGAGCACAGAAGGTCTTGCACCTCTGGAAGGGTGAGACGAGTGACTGCGAGGAGCCTCGTTGCCCAAACCAGCAAGCGGCCCTTGAGAGACCACTCAGCGAAGGCGGCGAGGAAGGCGAGGTCGTCGCTCACCACCACCACCGTCACGCACCACAACACTTGCCGCAGCTGTTGACGTCAACATAGTAGATGTTATGTGGGAGTGACATGCCCGCCTCAGTAGTGGTGTGAGAGTGATCTACCCGCCTCAGTAGTGGTGTGGGAGTGACCTGCCAGCCTCAGCAATGATGTGGGAGTGACCTGCCCGCCTCAGTAGTGGTGTGGGAGTGACCTGCCCGCCTCAGTAGTGGTGTGGGAGTGACCTGCCCGCCTCAGCAGTGATGTGAGAGTGACCGGCCCGCCTCAGTAGTGGTGTGAGAGTGACCTGCTTGCCCCAGTAGTGGTGTGAGAGTGACCTGCCCGCCTCAGTAGTGGTGTGGGACCCAGCAAACACAAATCATCTACACAACGTTCGCCTATCTCTTCCCATAGGTGTGGGAATGATTTGCATTGAGAATGGTGCAGGAGAGCCTTTGAGAAACTTTTACTTAAAAAATCCAAACACAAAGGTTTAATTATAAATAGTTTTTCTACAATTATTTTCTTCCAAATGTAAAACAAATAGTTTTTACATGTTTAAATATAAAATTTATGGTGTTTTTTTGTAAAATTCATTAATAAATTGTGAATGATATATATTGGCTGAGTGAAACCTTTAAAATCCATTTAGTTATAATATGAACAGAAAAAAGTAGTTTTCCAAATTTTCTAAAAATCGCTCTTTTTAACACAATTTGACTCCTTATGCATTCCACTAAACACTAATATCATGTTTAAATATATAATTTATGTATTATTCCCTAAGATAATTTATATAAATTATAAAAGTTGCTGGAAAGTGGTGAGAAAGAATCTGAAAACGTTTTGTTGTCTTATATTGGCGTGTTCTTATTAACTAGAGTGAGTAAGAGTGAGAGAGAGTGGGTAAGAGTGAGTAAGAGTGACTGAAGGTGAGTGAGAGTGCCAGAGAGTGTGTAAGTGTGAGTAAGAGTGAGTATAAGTAAGAGTGACTGAGAGTGAGTAAGAGTGACAGAGTGAGTAAGAGTGAGAGTAAGGGTGACAGAATGAGTAAGAGTGAGAGTAAAGTGATTGAGAGTAAGGGTGAGTATGAGAGTAAGAGTGATTGAGAGTTAGAGTGAGAGTAAGAGTGATTGAGAGTTAGTGAGAGTAAGAGTGATTGAGAGTAAGAGTGATTGAGAGTAAGAGTGATTGAGAGTAAGAGTGATTCAGAGTAAGAGTGATTGGGAGTAAGAGTGATTGAGAGAAAGAGTGATTGGGAGTAAGAGTGATTGGGAGTAAGAGTGAGAGTAAGAGTAAGAATGAGAATAAGAGTGACAGAGAGTAAGAGTGACAGAGAGTAAGAGTGACAGAGAGTAAGAGTGACAGAGAGTAAGAGTGACAGAGTAAGAGTGAGTATGAGAGTGAGTAAGGATGACTGAGAGAAAGAGTGAGTAATAGTGTGTAAGAGTGATTGAGAGTTAGAGTGAGAGTAAGAGTGATTGAGAGTTAGTGAGAGTAAGAGTGATTGAGAGTAAGAGTGATTGAGAGTAAAAGTGATTGAGAGTAAGAGTGATTGAGAGTAAGAGTGATTGGGAGTAAGAGTGATTGAGAGTAAGAGTGATTGGGAGTAAGAGTGATTGGGAGTAAGAGTGATTGGGAGTAGGAGTAAGAATGAGAATAAGAGTGATTGAGAGTAAGAGTGAGTAAGAGTAAGAATGAGAGTAAGAGTGATTGAGAGTAAGAGTGATTGAGAGTAAGAGTGATTGAGAGTAAGAGTGATTGGGAGTAAGAGTGATTGAGAGTAAGAGTGATTGGGAGTAAGAGTGATTGGGAGTAGGAGTAAGAATGAGAATAAGAGTGATTGAGAGTAAGAGTGAGTAAGAGTAAGAATGAGAGTAAGAGTGATTGAGAGTAAGAGTGATTGAGAGTAAGAGTGATTGAGAGAAAGAGTATGAGAGTAAGAGTGAGAGAGTGAGTATGAATGGGTAAGGGTGACTGAGAGTGAGTAAGAATGACAGAGTAAGAGTGACAGAGAGTAAGAGTGACAGAGAGTAAGAGTGACAGAGAGTAAGAGTGAAAGAGTAAGAGTGACAGAGAGTAAGAGTGACAGAGAGTAAGAGTGACAGAGAGTAAGAGTGACAGAGAGTAAGAGTGACAGAGTAAGAGTGACAGAGTAAGAGTGACAGAGTAAGAGTGACAGAGAGTAAGAGTGACAGAGAGTAAGAGTGACAGAGAGTAAGAGTGACAGAGAGTAAGAGTGACAGAGTAAGAGTGACAGAGAGTAAGAGTGACAGAGTAAGAGTGACAGAGTAAGAGTGATAGAGAGTAAGAGTGACAGAGAGTAGGAGTGACAGAGAGTAAGAGTGACAGAGTAAGAGTGACAGAGTAAGAGTGATAGAGAGTAAGAGTGACAGTGAGTAAGAGTGACAGAGAGTAAGAGTGACAGAGTAAGAGTGACAGAGAGTAAGAGTGACAGAGTGTAAGAGTGACAGAGTAAGAGTGACAGAGTAAGAGTGACAGAGAGTAAGAGTGACAGAGAGTAAGAGTGGCAGAGAGTAAGAGTGACAGAGAGTAAGAGTGACAGAGTAAGAGAGTGAGAGTGATTATGAGAGAGTTAAGAGTGTGAGGTGTGAGAGGGTAGCAGGCCAGGGGAGGCAGGATGTGTGGTCACAGGCGAGGCCTAGGCCTCGTGATCTCTAATGTTGGTTTTTATATATATGTTGGATTTTTTGTCCTGTTTCAAATTATAATTATTTAGCAGGAATGTAATAAGATATTGCACAGTATTAATGTGACAATAATATATGCATTATTTCCTTGATAATCAAACTTGTTGTTCAAAGATAATATACAATCTTTGAAGGAAACATTTTGAGAGCGCGAGCTGGCAACACTGGGCTGGTGGGTGAGAGAGACATATGGTTAGTTGTACTCAGACCTTCAGTGGGGAAGGGTGTGTCCCAGCTGGCCGCCACCAGCCGCCACCCGCCGCCACCCGCCACCCACCACCCACCACCCACCACCAGCCGCCGCCCACCACCAGCCGCCACCACCCACCACCAGCCGCCACCCACCACCAGCCGCCACCCGCCACCACCCACCACCAGCCGCCACCCGCCACCCACCACCAGCCGCCACCCGCCGCCACCCGCCAACCACCACCAGCCGCCACCCGCCACCAGCCGCCACCCGCCACCACCCACCACCAGCCGCCACCACCCACTACCAGCCGCCACCCGCCACCACCCACCACCAGCCGCCACCCGCCACCACCCACCACCAGCCACCACCCGCCACCACCCACCACCAGCCGCCACCCGCCACCACCCACCACCAGCCGCCACCGCCACTCACCACCCGCCGCCACCACCCACTACCCGCCACCTACCACCAGCCGCCACCCGCCACCACCCACCACCAGCCGCCACCCGCCACCACCCGCCACCAGCCGCCACCCGCCACCAGCCACCGCCCACCACCACCGCCACTCACCACCCGCCGCCACCACCCACCACCAGCCGCCACCCGCCACCAGCCACCCGCCACCCACCACCGCCACCCGCCGCCACCACCCACCACCAGCCGCCACCCGCCACCACCCACCACCAGCCGCCACCCGCCACCACCCACCACCAGCCGCCACCACCCACCACCAGCCGCCACCGCCACTCACCACCCGCCGCCACCACCCACCACCCGCCACCCACCACCAGCCGCCACCCGCCACCACCCACCACCAGCCGCCACCCGCCACCACCCACCACCACCCACCACCAGCCGCCACCCGCCACCCGCCGCCACCCGCCACCAGCCACCGCCACCCACCACCGCCACTCACCACCCGCCGCCACCACCCACCACCAGCCGCCACCCGCCACCAGCCACCGCCACCCACCACCGCCACCCGCCGCCACCACCCACCACCAGCCGCCACCCGCCACCACCCACCACCAGCCGCCACCAGCCACCGCCACCCACCACCGCCATTCACCACCCGCCCCCACCACCCACCAAACGCCGCCACCCGCCACCCACCACCAGCCGCCACCCGCCACCACCCACCACCAGCCGCCACCCACCACCAGCCGCCACCCGTCACCACCCACCACCAGCCGCCACCCGCCGCCACCCACCACCAGCCGCCACCCGCCACCACCCGCCACCAGCCGCCACCCGCCACCAGCCACCGCCACCCACCACCGCCACTCACCACCCGCCGCCACCACCCACCACCAGCCGCCACCCGCCACCACCCACCACCAGCCGCCACCGCCACTCACCACCCGCCGCCACCACCCACCACCCGCCACCCACCACCAGCCGCCAGCCGCCACCACCCACCACCAGCCGCCACCACCCACCACCAGCCGCCACCCGCCACCACCCACCACCAGCCGCCACCCGCCACCAGCCGCCACCCGCCACCAGCCACCGCCACCCACCACCGCCACTCACCACCCGCCGCCACCACCCACCACCAGCCGCCACCCGCCACCAGCCACCAGCCACCGCCACCCACCACCGCCACCCGCCGCCACCACCCACCACCAGCCGCCACCCGCCACCACCCCCCACCACCAGCCGCCACCGCCACTCACCACCCGCCGCCACCACCCACCACCCGCCACCCACCACCAGCCGCCACCCGCCACCACCCACCACCAGCCGCCACCCGCCACCACCCACCACCAGCCGCCAGCCGCCACCCGCCACCAGCCACCGCCACCCACCACCGCCACTCACCACCGCCATTCACCACCCGCCGCCACCACCCACCACCCGCCGCCACCCGCCACCCACCACCAGCCACCACCCACCACCAGCCGCCACCCACCACCAGCCGCCACCCGCCACCACCCACCACCAGCCGCCACCCGCTGCCACCCACCACCAGCCGCCACCCACCACCAGCCGCCACCCGCCATCACCCGCCACCAGCCGCCACCCGCCACCAGCCACCGCCACCCACCACCGCCACTCACCACCCGCCGCCACCACCCACCACCCGCCGCCACCCGCCACCAGCCACCCCCACCCACCACCGCCACCCGCCGCCACCACCCACCACC